GAGAGAGAGAGAGAGAGAGAGAGAGAGAGAGAGAGATAGAAGATAGATAGATAGATAGAAAGAGAGTCCTTAAATACTGATACCCTGATATGTCGACGCCAGCAGAAAGGCCAGAGGTTGTCTCGGATGAATCGACAAGTCATCTAAATTGTTTAAATTGTTAGTACTCTAAAAATAGTTTTTTAAAAGTAATCTTTGAGGTATCTCGCGAATATGCCCATCCCCTTATTTTCTGTATATGTGTTTTTTAGTATTTTTAGTTGTCATTCGCCTATAGTAAATTCTCATTTCTAAAAGACGTGTTTAAAGTTTTTACTTTTTCACTTTTACACGTCCTTGTGAGAAATTCAGTTCAGAATATCTATTGACTGGTAATTACCCTTTAAAACAAAACAAAACACATATTTATGCTCGTGATTCTTTTTGATTATAAAAAGAATAACCAAAATCCTGCTGAATTACGGACTCTATCTAAACCATAATACGAGGTTTAAGGCGAAGCGGCCTCGCCAGGTAAATATATCACCAGGTAACGAGCCATAGGCCTATGTGGATAATTCCTACCCCTTACCCCCATAAAGCGAACAAAGGCCTACATCCCTCCTCTTTTTCTCTTTCTTTCTTTCTTCTCTCTCTCTCTCTCTTTCTATTTTTCTTCTCTCTCTCTCTCTCTGTTTCTTCCTTTTTTCTCTCTTTTAATCTTTCTCCTCTCTATCTCTCCTTTCTCACTTTCTAGAAAGGAGGAGAAAATAGTATTGAATATAAGAAAGTGGAGGAAAATGAGTAGAAGCATGAACGAAGGAAAATGAAGAAAAAGAAGAAACAAAGTAAATAGAAGCATAAGAAGTAAAAATAGGAAGAAAAAAGACAGAAAATGATGGAGAAAAAGAAGAAAAAAGGAATATAGAGAAAAGTAGAAATAAGATGAAAAAGGAGGGAGAAAAAAATAGAAGAAAAGGAAGAAACCAGGCCTATGAGAGTGACCAAACAGGCAGGCGACGGATTAACAACCTTCGTCAACCGCGGCGCGAGGCATACTAATTCTTACTTTCACTGAGAAATATTTGCTTGGAGCGTCTGAACATGGGTAAGAGCAACGGTGATAATAATAATAATGAAAGAATAAAGATAGTAGTAATAAGCATAAGAATGATAATTACAGTGTTGAATAATTAACAGAAGTGACGGAGGTTGGTGATGATAACAGTAAAAAATGGTAAATGATAACTTTAGGGATAACAAGTACAAAGATAGATAAAAAAAGTGATATTAATAATGATATACATAACTTTGATAACTAAAAAGTTGATAATAATGACAATGAAAATGATAACTACGGTAAAAAAGATGATGGCAATAGTAGCATGAAATTTGGATAAATTAGGATAATGATAAATATAACCGGCAAAGCAAAGGCTGATTTAAAAACTGGCTGGCGCTCGCTTGTACAAGATCACACGTACATTCTAAAATGATAGTAAAAAACATGTTTTCTCCCGAACAATTTGTTGACTTCTTTTGTATAAAAACAAATATGTTTTCGTTTGTTCTGATAACTTAATGGTGTACTGTACCGCGCAGACATAATGAATGGCACGGTGAACGTTATAGCTTGCCAATTGTAGACCTAAAAAGTGTTCACATGTGGATGCCACTAAAATAAGCCTGTTTATTCAGTGTGAAGATTTGGGTATAATGTAATTTTGCACAAATGACTTTCTACGTAATACCCCAAAAAAGTCGGTCCCGGATTTAAAATCTCAGGTCACGTGAGCAGCTCTGCTTCAATGGGCGGGAATCCTAATCTCACATATGGGTGGCCGGTGGCGCCTCTCCTAG